GCTGGGCCCGCCCGTGGCCACCTATGCACTTCCAGGGTGGGGCGGCTGCCAGCCGGCTCCTGGAGGGACTTCCCTTTTTTGTAGAGACCCGCCCGCAGGTCTGTTTTTCATGAGGACGCATCTTTTGCAGAGTTTCTCAAGCGTTTTCTAAGGTTTCACCCCAGCTTCCTGCCCTGACGTGGCCGCCCGAGCGGGGTGGGGCGGGGTGGGGCGGGCCGAGACCCCAGGGCCTGCCCCCCCTCGGCTCGCAGGTGACACACGGGCTGGGGGGGGCAGGGAGCTCACACCTGGGGGAGAGGTCTACACCCTGGATGCAGAGAGAGTGCACAGAGAGCCTGGACTGTCATACCTGGACACTCCCACTTCACCCCAGTGCACACGTGTTCACACCCAGGACACACAGTTGGACACACGGCTCCAGGGTGGGACATGCACGTGTCACACACACCTGACACTAGAGTGGTGCCCCCCGCTCCAGAGCTCACCGCAGGCACGCGGGGCCCTCACGAGGGCACAGCTCACACCCGGGACACACGCAGCTCACACGAGACACACCCAGCTCACACTCGGGACACAGCTCAGACCAAGACACACACAGCTCACACCCGGGACACACGCGGCTCACATGAGACACCCAGCTCACACTTGGGACTCACGGCTCAGACCAAGACACACGCAGCTCACACGAGACACGCCCAGCTCACACTTGAGACACGCCCAGCTCACACTCGGGACATGCACAGATGACTCCCGGGACACAGTTCACACCCGAGACACACTCAGCTCCCGTCTGGAGCACACTGAGCTCCCACCTGGGACCCGCTCGGCTCGCACGCAGCTCCTGCGCAGCCAGCCGGCCCTCGGGGAGGGTCTCGGGCGCCGGGCTCAGGTCTCGCCGAGCGAGCGGGTCAGGCTCACCGGGGGGCCCCGCCCCAGACGCCCTCCCCCTGGGAGAAGCCGTCCCCACTTCCTCCACCGTCCCCAGCCGCCACTTGTTCCCATGTGCACCCCTGGGCGCAGCACGTGGCCTCTGGGGGGGCGTCTCCTACAGGCCAGCTGGAGGGACCTCCAGGCCCCAGTCCGCACGGCCCCTGAGCCAGCCCCTGACCCGCTGCTCCCCTGGGACACCGGAGCCCCGAGAGTGTGGGCAGCAGGGAGGAGCAAGGCCAGGACAGGCGCATGGGCTACAGGGAGGCCTGGACCTGGGTCACTGGGAGAAGGTGACAGAGACGCCTTGGTCTCTGCAACTTTCTGGCAGATCTTGGGCCAAAGAGTAGGGACATCACAGGCCAACTGCAGCTCAGGCTAAGGAAGAGATTCCCCAAGGGCACTGTCCTGTCGCTCTTCAGAGAGTGAGTTCCCCGTCACTGGGGGTAAGCAAGCAGGAGCTGAGGTTTTGCGGCAGTATTCAGACACCAGACGGGGACTGTCCATGACCCCTGCCTGCCCCAGCCTGGTCCTCGCCCCCACTCTCTACCTCGGCCAGATGACAGGGCATCGTTGTGGGGGACGGGGGCACAGTTGTGTGGCCCAACCTCGGCCAGAAAGGAGCTTAGCCGCCGACCAGGAGATGAGGACGGTATTCTCAAGGACCTCGGAGGAAGGCTCAAAGCCACCTCTGTTCCTGCCCGGCTGGGGAACCTCAGTTGGCGACTGAGGACCACCTGGACCCTCGGCGTCCTCATCTGTGAGATGAGTCGGAGGGTGGAACCCACCGCTACGCACGCAGAGGCCCACGGGTGGGCCTGACGGTCGGCCTGGGCCCGGGACCCTCGAGACCTTTCTGAGAGGACCCGGAAGGGACGCTGGCCGCTCTCCCCGGGCTGTGGCGGGAGACATCGGAGACCCCGGTCCCCGAGGGCCGAGTGGCGGCTGCTGGCCACGGCCAGCCTGGGTGGGGACCCCGCCCCAGTCATGGCGGGGCGTAAGCGGCCCCCTGCTCCCCCCGAGTTGGGCAGAACCGACCGGTTTTCGTCCCCAGCATCCTCCTGACCTTGGTCGCCATGACAACCCGAGGGCCTCCCTCCCCCCCCACCCCAACAGCAACATCCAAGTGCCTTCAGCATCATCGCGGCGGCGGCAGGGGGCACGTTCTTGGCGGCAGAGGGACTCAGAACGTCAGTGTGTCGGCGTCTCCCGGCCCCCCCCCCGCCCGCCCGCCCGCCCGCCCCCACCCCGGTCCCCACACCAACCGAGTCCCCCCAGGTCCCCACCCCCGCCCTGCTGCATTGGATTGGAACCCAATAAAAATGAAACCGATTTAATAGCAAGCTTCAGGGTTTTCATATGATTCTCATGGGAGGCGTGGGGGCGGGAAGTAGGGCCACGGAGGTCCCCCGGCGGGGGGGGGGGAGCTGCCCGGCCCCAGCCACTTCAGGAGCGCCCACGCTGTTCCCATGCTATTCCCTGCGCTGCCCGTGTTAACTCCTTTCACGCTGATGACAACCCTGCGAGCCGGGTCCCCTTATGAGCCCACTTTACAGGGGGCAAAGGGAGGGTCAGAGGTCGGAGGGCATGTGCCCCGAGTCCCCAGCCAGGGAGAGGTGGCCTGCCTCTGAGGGTGCGGTGGGGGGGGTGGGGGGAACGCAGGCGACCCCAAGCGCTGGAAGTAAGACTGAGAAAGCGCTCTGTTCTCACTCCAGCCCCCAGTGGATGGATGGGGAAATTGAGGCACAGGGCCCCATGTCGGGACTCACGCCCGCTGGCCCCTGAAGGCCTGTGCTCTTTCCGGAAGGAGGTGGACTGAGTCAGGGCGGTCGGCAGAAGCCACGGCCAAGGGCAGCCTCTCACTTGCCACCCCAGCATGGCTCTCGGGGCCTCGGTTTCCCCGTGTGAACCTGGAAGAAGGTGCCCCCGTCTATCAGGATAGGGACGTGTTGGACGCTATGGGGTGACTGCCCCCCACCACCTGCTGGGGCCACGAACCCTCCCCAGGGTCTCATCCCCCTATTCTTCCTGTAGCAAAGGCAGGTGAGCGATGGCCTCATGTGCCTCAGTTTCCCCATCCGCAGGGGCTGCCGGAGTCCCTGGTTCAAACTGGGTACAAGATGCAACCTTTCCCAAATCCTCTCTTATTCTTGGGGTGTGGCCGAGGGGGCCTCCTTCCTGGGGTCGCCAAGGCCCAGCTGAAGGGGGACCCGTCCTGCTGGTGGCCGGAAACCCCAGGAGGAGCCCCTCAGAGGGGTGACTGTGGGGTCCCCCAAAACACAGGAAGGCAACCCAGCCATCGGCCCGTCCTGGGCGCGGGGCCCCTTCCTCCGTCTGCACCGCCAGCCGCGCAGCGTCTCCATCTCCGCCTCTGACCCTCCCGCCTCCCTCTGAGCAGGACTCTTGGGGTGACACGGGGCCCCCGGGAATCCAGGGTCGTCCCTCCTCTCATCTAATTAGCAACCTCGCTTCCACCTGCCACCTGAGGGTCCCCTTGTCACTCACGTCACGTGACGTGTCCACAGGGGCTGGACACGGGCAGCTTTGGGGGTCGTAACTCCACCCACCAGCAAGACTGGGGCTTTTTCCTTCAGACGCCAAAGTCGTGTCCCTTGACGTCCCGTGTCCCCTTCCGGGCGATGCCAGGGATATAGGGAGGCCCCGTTCCCGGAGCGTCACTGAACGCTTGTCCAGCGGGACAACAGCTTGAGCGTGTGGGGACGATCTGACCCTGAGGGGGGTGGCCGGGCGGGGCAGACAGACACGGGGGCGACCCGCGTCGATGGCCATTTTTGGGGTGAGCTGAGGCAAGCGGCCCCCGTTTCTGGGCCTCAGGGGAGGACCGTCCCACGGGGCTCAGGAGGGGACCCGGCACGTCGGGGTGCTTCCGCGGCAGGGCCGGGGCCAAGATGGGGTGACCGAAGCTCTCACCACGCGCACGACGTTTACGGGGCGCCCGGGACTCAGTCATCAAGATGGATGCTGCGTCACCAAAACATCGCCACCCCAAGAGCACGAGGGACGAAATACTGGCCTTGGAAAGAAAGCTGCCCCCCCGACCCCCCGGCCGCACCCCACCCGGCCCCGGTGCCGATAAAACTTTTATCGACAATGACAGCGGCCGGCCCCGGGGGCCACAGCCCGCCGCTTTGGTTTTTTTTTTTTAATTTTATGGTAAAACGTTATTTGTCTTGATCACTGAGGGGTTTTTCGTATCCCCCTTGAATTCCGTGTCCGACATGGGCGCCCCGCACGGCTCACCCTCAGCCGGGAACGGAGCCCTGGCTCGGCCCGGTGACCCCATGGCTCTCAGGAAAGGAAGAGCAGAATCCTGTGGGCAGGGGTTCGGGGGGGCGAGGAGGCCGTGTCCTCAGCACTTCCGGTCCCTTCTGTTCCACCTGGAACAGCCCCGGATCGGTGGGACCCGCCCCTCGTGTGATTCAGACTCTCCCTGGGGCCCACCGTGCTCCCACCGCACAGTCCCGAAACCCACCAAAAGCACGGGCTGCCCCGGGGCGGGGGGCACCGGGTGTGGAGCTGGGGTGCCCCTCGTGGCTCGGGACAGGCGGGACAAGCGTCGAACCCCAGAGCCGCCTCAAGGGGCGCGTGCTTCCCCCAGAATGTCACGCTGGCCGGTTTTCCCCGGATTGTCCCCGTTTCTGATTTGCCGCGCACGGTGATGATAAATTAAATGTCTTTCTAAATAAGTCCATCAAGGCCATGGGGGCAGGGAAGGGAGAGGGTTAAATGTTTTAAAGAAAAACCCAGCTGCTGTGGCTGTTACGAGGCCGCAAGGCAAGTGGGACCCGCTTTTTGTATTCCCCGGAGCACAGAGAGGGGCGGTGACCTGCCCCGAGTCACACAGCACATCAGAACAGAAATGGCTCAACGGAGGGGCACCTGCCTGGACTGCGGGAGGGCGGTCAATCGGCGACCAGCCTGAGGGTCCCAGAGGGTGGGCGGGAGGGGGGCGCGCCCGGGGGGCCCCTCCGTTGGTCCCAAAGAAGAGGAAGTGGTTCGGGAGGAAGCAAAAGCCGCAGAGGACAGAGCCGCCTGTTGCATTTCTCCCGGACCAGCCGGAGCTGGGGTTCCCTGCCCTCCCCCCCCCACCAGGGAGCCCAGAACGTGTCACTCCCCAGCCGCCCACCCAGCGACCGTGACCTCAGCCCGTCTCCTGCACCCCTCCACCCCCGACGGCTTCAGCCCTGGAACCACTTATTTTCGAGTCCCACCTTCCGGGCTTTGCCCAGGCTGTTCTCTCTGCCGGGAATGCTGTTCCCTCCTGGGGGGCCGAGGGGCAGTGAGCCGGAAGCCCCCCCGCCGCCCCGCCCCGCGCCGGCCTGCGGGCTAACAGATTGCACCGGCGTTTCCTGTGACAGGTCAGCCGGTCCTGGGAGGCGGCCCAGGCGGCCGTTCTGGGGAGTCTGTCCCCAAGGACCCCCTCCGCCCCGCAGTCACTGCCATCCTGAAGGTAGGGGGTCCCCGGGGGGGGCTGGGGCAGGGGTGGGCAGAAGCGGCTACTTTTCGAGTTCGGGGGTGACCTGGGATCGGTGGGGGAGAGCCAGGGGCCGGGCTGAGCTCCGGGGACGAGGCCCCAGCGTGGGTGCTGTCGCCCATCCCGGCTGTCCCCCCAGCGGCCTGCCCTCAGGGCTGCACGTTGTGTCCATTTCACAAAAGTACAGGGGTCCGCTCCCCGCCCTGAAGGGTTGATGGGTGACATTCCTGTCTCACGGGTGAAAACGGAGCCCAGAGAGGGCAAGAAACCCATCCGGGGCCACACAGCAGGGTCAAGGCTGGGCCAGAGGACCCAGGTGTGCGCGGCTGACCCCGCCTAGGTCCCCGCACACCCACCCACGTGGCGCTCACGGACACCCCGCAGGTGCCACCCTCGCACGCCCCCCACTCTGACCTCCTCCCCCAGCATGAGTGGCCCTGAGCCCCCCACGGAGACCCGGGGGCCCGACGACCCCACCTTGCCGACTCAGCCCACCTACATCAACCTCGGTGAGCCGCCCAGAGGGGATCCCGGGCTGGGCGGGCAGGGGGGGTGCCTAGCAGGGGTTGGGGGCCGGCCCCCAAGGAGGCTGGAGCAGAAGGGCTGGGTCTCTCCTGGCCATTTAGGGAACTTCCTGCCTCATGACAGTGACTGTCACTGTCTCTAATCCGAGCCCGTTAGAAAGAAGCTGGAGTCACCAGCTTGTGAAAACGGGGACGCCGGAGTTCAGAGAGGTGCGGCTGTCCGCCCAGAGCCACACAGCGGGACGGGGGTCCAGGGGGGCTGGGCCGGACGTGGCTCTCCTCTGAGCCTGTGTCCTCGTCTGTGAAGATGGGGACGTCCCCGCCCCACGGGTGTTAGCATGACACCCATTTTCCAGATGGGGACACCGAGGCCCAGGGGTGCAGTCCTGTGCCCAGGGCCCCCCGCACGTCCTCAGCGCCCCACGCTCCCCCCGCAGGGGAGGTCCGAGCCCACCTGCTGCCTTCCAAGGCCTGTCGCCCCCGGACGACCGAGGCCCTGCCCACCGCCCCGCAGCCCGCGCCCCCACCGCTGCCCAGGAAGACGCTGACCAGGACCCAGTCCGTGCCCACCCACCGGCCCGCCAGCCCCGGCCGCGCGCCCCGGGGCCCGCCGCGCAGGCCCCTCCTGGGCTCCCGCAGCCTGGACGAGGGCCAGGCGGGCGGCGACGAGGCCGGGCCCCCGTGTCCCCCCGCGGAGCCGGCCCTCGGCCCCCCGGACGCGGCGCTGGGCCTCTCCGTGCGCGACCTACAGCGCCCCGAGGCCGTGCGCGCCGCGCTAGAGGCCTGGCAGCTGGGGGCGCTGCGCGCCGTGCATGCGCGCCTGCGGGCGCGGCTCCTGGGGGGCCACCCGGGCCCCTGCCACCAGGGCCACGCGCTGCGCCTGCTGGACGGCTCGCCATGCGCCGAGAGCGGGGACGCACTCTACTACCGCGTGGTGCGTGTGGACGGGGACGCCTGGCACGTCCTAGCTGCCAAGGTGAGCCCCTCCAAAACCCAGCCCGAGACCCCCGCGCCCGCAGCTCGGCCCGTCGGCTGCTTTTGTGACTAACAGGAGTCCGCACAACCGGGCTGGAACCGCCACAGTCGGCGGCAGTCCCTTCCTGGCCTCTGGGGCCCGGGAACCCACATTGTCACTCACTCCCCAGTGAAGTCTGGTGCTTGAGAGCCACTGAGCTCACCAGCCATGGCGGCTGACAGCTACCACTTTAAATAATAATAATAACAATAATAATCAGGAGGCCTAGCAATTCAGTTCGGCACACTCCGCCTCCGTGGCCCGGGTTCTGTTCCCGGGCACAGACCTACACTGCTCTGTTAGCAGCCGTGCTGTGCTGGCGGCTGATATACTAAAAAATAGGGGAAGATTTACACAGATGTTAGCTCAGGGCACATCTTCCTCAGCAAAAAAAAAAAAAAAAAAAAGATACTAATAATAACCAACAGCCGCCAAAATGCACCGAGCACTTCCCTGTGCTGTTCCAAGGACTTTCAGACGAATTTATTTATCTAATCCTCACGCCAGCTTTACGATGGCGGTATCACCCTTCTGTCATAAGACACTCTGTTTTATGCACCGCTAAGAAAAAAAGAAGGATTCCCGTTAAATAACCCGCCAAGCGTCAGACGCATCCCCATCCTGGAGGGATCTGGGCGATTTGACAGAAGGCGCTCCTTCCTGCGCATTTTCCAGACGGTTGTGGAGAGGGAGGGAGTCGCTGCTGGCGGTGAGCTCGTTCGCTTGTCCACAATGCCATCCCAGAGGCCCCTGGGGAGTTTATTTGTACAACACCCACCCCCGGAGCACCTGTCATTTTTAAACTCCCCCCAAACACAGGTGATTCTAATGTAATCCCCAGACCCAAGGTCCTCCCAACCTTTTTTTTTTTTTTTTTTTTTTTTCAGGAAGATTAGCCCTGAGCTAACTACTGCCAGGCCTCCTCTTTTTTTTTGCTGAGGAAGACTGGCCCTGAGCTAACCTCCGTGCCCATCTTCCTCTACTTTATATGTGGGACGCCTACCACACAGCATGGCATGCCAAGCAGTGCCATGTCCGCACCTGGGATCTAAACCAGCGAACCCCGAGCCACCAAAGCAGAACGTGCGCACTTAACCTCTGCGCCACTGGGCTGGCCCCCCCTCCGACCGTCTAGAAAGAGCTTTGCCATCCATGCAGGGTTCGCGGGTTTGGATCCTGGGCGTGGACCTAGCACCGCTGATCAAGCCATGCTGTGGCAGGCGTCCCACATACAAAATAGAGGAAGATGGGCACGGATGTTAGCTCAGGGCCAGTCTTCCTCAGCAGAAAGAGGAGGATTGGCAGCAGACATTCGTTCAGGGCTAATCTTCCTCAAGCTAAAAAAAAAAAAACCAGAAATTACTTTCACCTGTCTATTTTCACATTGTAAAATGTTGTAAAATGTGGCTGCTGGAAAATATTAAGTGACACCGTGGCCCCCGATGCATTTCTCCTGGGCTGCCCGGCTCTGGCACCTCCGCTGTCACGTCCCTCCTTACAAGCGGTCAGACCCTGCCCTGGGGCAGGCCGGAGAGTCAGACCCCTAAACGCCGTCCTCCCCGGGACGGTTTTCCGGAAAATCATGGCGGCCGCTAACCTCTGAATGAACATCGAACTCTGGCTGCTGGAGGCCACGCAGCCGCCCCCGCAAAGCTGGAGTGGGCGGGCGGGGTAGGGGGCGGGCTGTGCTGGCGGGGGCTGTGCGCTCAGGCCCTGATGGCCCCCTCTGCCCCGCAGGTGCCCAAGCCGGGAGCCGAGGAGCCCCACCCCTGGGGCCTGGAGCTGCAGGCCTCGCTGGCCCCCCACTTCAACCTCCAGGGGCTGTGCGGCCTGGTGCCCGAGGGCGCGGTGCCCCAGGCTCCCTGGAGGGGCCCCGTGGCGCTGGCGGCCGAGGTGCCCGAGCGCACGGTGGCCCAATGGCTGGCGGAGGAGGGCACAGTGCGGCCACTGGTGGATGTGGCACGCGCGGGGGCCCTGCTGCTGCTGCAGCTGAGCGCCGCTCTGGAGCTCCTGGAGGCGCGGGGCGCGGTGCTGGCCGAGCTGCGGCCCGAGAACCTGTTGCTGGCCGCGCCCCGGGGCTGCGCGGCCGCCGGACCCCCGCGCCTGCTGCTCGCCGACTTCGGCCGCGTCCGCCCATGCCCCCGGGGCCCCCCGGGCACCCACGCGGAGCCGTTCGCCCACCTGCTCCGCACGTTGCTCGGCCCCGCCGTGGCCTCGGCCGCGCCCTTGGCCCGGGGCCTGGAGCGCCTGGCGACCCAGCTGGCCCTCTCGCGGCCCTCGGCGGCCCAGACCCGCGGCGCGCTGCAGGCGCTGCTCTGGGGGCCCGGGCCCGAGCTGCACGGCCGCGGGGCCCCGCTGGGGCCCTGGCTGAGGGTGCGCCGTGCGCTGCTGGTCCTGCAGCTGGCCGAGCGGGCGGCGGGTGGGGAGGCGCCCGGCCTCGAGGACTGGCTGTGCTGTGAGTACCTGGCCGAGGCCACCGAGGCCTCGCTCAGCCATGCCCTGGCGCTGCTGTGGGGCTGACCCCTCCCCGGAGCCACGCGCCTGTCCCAGGGCTGGAGCTGGTGGCAGGGTCTCCACGGTCGGGGGGACGCCCCTTCCAGAAGGAATCAGGGTGGCCAAGAGGGCACCCGTGTGGACACTCCCATTTCCAACGCCAGCCCCACTCTGTGCTGGGCACTTAGGCCCGAGGCCTCCCCAAGAATGCAGGGGACCCCATTCCCGGGCTGCGAGCTGAGGGCCAGGGCCAGCTGGGGCTGCCCAATGCCAGGGCTGCCACCCGCCTCCCCGGGGGCACACTCCTGCCAATCCACCATCATCTCCGAGTGTGGGGAGGCCCTCCCCTCCTCCAGCAGAAGTCAGGTGCCCTCGTGGTGCTGGGCTCTGAGAGTCACCGTGGCCCTAGCAGCATCTGGGGGTTCCTGGCCCCGGGGCACCCCCTTAGGCTGAGCGTGGCCAGCGGTTGCGTGAGTGTGTCTTTGTCACAAACTGTCATGGTTTTGGGGAGGGGCGGCCCCCCAGCACAGCCTCCTGGAGAATCTGAAGGCACCTGCTCACCCGTCCCGTGGCTTCCCTGCCCTGCCACCTCCGCCACCCCCTCCCCGCTGTCCCTCTGTGACACTAGGAGCTGCCAGCCTTTGCAGGGGCTGTTGTCTCTGTTGGAGCCCCAGCTCCTCTAAGGAAATAAAGGCGCCTCCTGGCCCTCTCGCCTCCTCCCTCCCCCCCCCCCCCCCCCCCCCCCGCCTCTGCCCCCACTGACGAGCACGCAGCGCCCGTGTCACCTGTCCCCGTCCCCCCCCCGCCAGGCTGAGAGTTCCTGAGGGCAGGGTCCAAGCTTAACACACAGTAGGCGCCTTCCGAGTATCAGAGGTTGGAATAAACTGTCACACGAGACTCACGGGGGACCCGAGGGAGAGAACGTCTCAGCTCACGCCTCTGGAAATGGACACAGGAGCCCTGAGGGGCCCCACCGCCCCCGCCTGGGGGCTCAGTCTCGCGCCCTCCTTGCCCCCATCGCACTCCTAGGGGCACCTTTCCAACCCCAGACGTGACCTGGTCCCTCCCCTGCTCAGACGCCTCCCCGGGCTCCCCAGCACCCTCAGAATCCTGCGAGCCCTCCGGCCGCCCCCTCCGGCCCCCCGCCCACCGCTGGGGCTGCTCTCCCGCCTCCAGGCCTGGCCCGACTGTTCCCTCCACCGGAAGCGCCCCACCCCCGCCGCCTCTGCTTCAGACTCCTACTCTCCTTGCAGCGCCCCAGCTCCAAGACCCTGCCCGGCCCACAGACGGGCAGTGCGTCCAGTTCTGCCCCACGGTCACTCGGGGCTGGATACCCCACCCCACCCCACAACAGGGGTTCGCGGCCCTCCGAGCTCCGTTCCTCCCCCGTGAAGCTCGCCCCACCCAATTTCCGGGCCAAGGCCGGGACGCCATCCCCGGCGAAGCTCCGGGCGCGGCCAGCAGGTGGCGCCGCGGTCACTCCCAGCGCGCCGCCCGCGGCCACCGCGCCACCTCCCGGGCTGCGCCACCGCCGGGCCCCGGAAACGCCCAGGCGCCGGGGAGGCCGCAGGGGGAGCGGGACCCGGCCTCCCGGGGAAGGGCGCCGGGCGCGGGCGGCGGGGGACCCTCCAGCTGGCCGCCCGCAGCAACCCAGCAGCGTCCCGACACAGCAGACTAGGCCCCCAACTTCTGTGCCCCAGCCTCAGTTTCCCCGGGAGAAGAGGCGTCACTCAGCTCACGGTACTTGCAGCACCCCACCCCAGGCGCCCTGAGGTGCCCGCCCCGCCGCCGTCCAGTCCCGGGGGCCACACGAACACACGGAGCCACACGGGGGCTGGAGGTGTCAGCACTTTTATTCCGGTTTGGGGAGCAACAGACGCGCGGATTAACACCGATCGGGCCGAGGCACGAGGCCAAGGCCGTTTGCAAAGGACTCCAAACGAGGCATTCCTCCTCAAGCACAAGGATCACCTGAATCATCTTAACCAGCGATAAAAAAGTAAAATATAAACTTTTATTTAGAATTAAAGCAAACACTTCAATCTCGCAAACACGACGTTGAACTGCAGGAACACACCGCTGATTTGCAGTGAGCGTTTATTTGCACAATCACGACACGCGGACACAGCGGGGAGCGGCCCGACCTCCGCCCGGCGCCGCTGTCACCCGCCGCGCGGCTCGGGGGGACGCAGGCTCCGGGCGCGGGGGCCCTGCTACTGCTCGTCCCCGGAGGACTCCCGCTCGAAGGTGTAGGCCATGAAGCAAGCTTCGGGTCTCTTGGGGACAAGGGGGTGCCCCGGTCTCACAATCTCAAAGCCCAGAAAGCTGAAGGTCCGGAGCAGGGCGGCTGCGGGGGACACGTGGTCAGAGCCGCCGCCGCCGGTCCCCAGGGCACGGGGACGGGGTGCCCCTCCCTCCCTCCCCCCGGGCGCCCCCACCTCTGTCGTCGCGGTTCTTGTGGAAGCAGATGAAGACGTGGTCGGCGCGAAGCTGCTCCTCGGCGAACTCCAGCAGCACTGCGAAGCTGCGGGGCGGTCAGCGCGCCCACTCCCCGCCCCCGCCCCCCGCCGCCCGGCCACCACCTGCTCGGGACCGTCCCGGGCGCGGGGCGTCACGCAGCGCCCGACCCAGCCGCGGCCCCGTCCCCGGGCCAGGACCCCGCGCGGCTCACCTGTCCTTGCTGCCCTCGGGCAGCGCCCCGCCCGGGATCTCGATGTACAGGGAGCCGCCGCGCAGCACCGCCCTCCAGTCCACCTGCCGGGCGTCGCGGAGCCGCGTCTGCACGTGAAGGATTCTCGTCTTGTCGTTAGACGTTAGTTCCTCTGTTACATTCAGCCGATTATCCTGCGGGCGGGCGGCCCAACTGAGACGCGGCCTTCGGGGCCTCGCTGCGCCCGCCCCGGGACCCCAGCCCCTGACCCCCGCCCGCCCGCCGGACCCGCGGGGCCACTCACCGAGTAAAATAAATTAGCTGAAAGATTGTGATCCCTCTGACTATTCCCTCGCCCACCTGGGATCTTCAGGGGTGGGTGAGGGACATCAGGAGCACCACCGAGGCCCCGGACCCAGGTGACTACAGCAGCTGCCGGACAGCCTGGAACTGGGGGGAGGGGGGGGCCGCGGTCAGCGCGCGCCAGGCAAGACCCCGCGGCCCCGGAACCGCCTCCGTCCACACCGCACAGACGGTGGGCCGGACGACCGCTGACCAACACCGACACGAGGGATCCCCGCCCGCTCGGCCCGCCGGCCCCCAAGTGCCGCCCGGGGCGTCCCGGCTCAGGACCCGGCCCCGCAGCGGCCCCGGCGGGAGGCCCGGGCGCCGTCCACGTGGCGCCGCCTCGCCCGCGCGCCCTCGGGGCTCAGGAGGCTCGGGAGGCGGCGGCCCGGGGGCGCGGGTGGGGCCCGGGCTCGGCCTGTCCGCCCCGAGGAGCCCGCCACGCCCGCGGCCAGCGCGGCCCCCGCCGCCCCAAACCGGCGCCCTCCCTAAACCCGACCCCGAAACCGCAAACCACACCAGGAAGACCCGCGCCCCTAAACCCGATCCCGAAGCCCCAAATCCCAACAAGGACCCCCACGGCCAAGCCCAATACTGGGCCCCCCAATCCAACGAGAATCGCTACATCCCCCAAACATGACCTAAAATCTCCAAACCCAACCCAGGACCCCCGTGTCTCCCAAACACAACCAGGCAGCCTCTCGGACCCCCAACTCCGACCAGAGACCCCCGCGACCGCCAAACCCGACCCCGGGCCCCCGGATCCAACCAGGTACCACTACGCCCCCCAAACCCAACCCTGGACCCCCAAATCCAACCAGGATCGCTGCGGCCCCCAAACACCATCCAAGACCTCCAAAATCCAACCAGGAAGCCCCCGCGCCCACCAAACCCGACCTCAGGCCCCCAAATCCGACCAGAGACCCCGCGGCCCGCAAATACCACTACATAGCCCTCCCGCACCCCCAACTCCGGCCAGGAACTCCCGCGGGCCCCGTGTCCAACCAGGGACCCCTGCGTCAGCCAAACTCGCCCCCGACACCGCGGTCCTCTTCCAAAACTGACCCCAAACCTCTAAACCAAACTAAGAACACAGAAGCCCCCCAGGTACAACCAAGTGGAACCCCCCTGACCCGCTAACTCCGATCGAGGATCCCCAACTCCGATCAGGGGCCCCGGGGACCGCCAAACCCGAGCCCGGACCCCCAAGTCCGACCCGCAAGCCACCTACCCAACTAAGGACCCCTACGTGGCCCCAACTCGCCCCGATCGCTGCTCCAAACCCGACCCCGGCCCCCACAAGTCCAAGCGGGCACGCCCCAGTTTCCCAAACCACTCCCGCCCCCGGGCCCCCACGATCCCCGCGCGCCGCAGGCCCGAGGCCCCCGGGGGCGGGGGGGCGCCCGCCAGCCCCGCCCCGAACCCGCCCCCAGCGCGATTGTGGCCTCGACAAAGGGGCGGCCCCGCGCTCCCCGGACTTCCGCGGCCGGCCCCCCGCGGGCCTGCGCGGCGGCGGCGCTTCTGGAAGCTTCGGGCGGGGGCGGGGCGCTCACCTCCCGCTGCTGCGGCCGCCGCGGCTGTGCAAGCTGAGGAGCGGCATGGCGCGGCTGGCGTGGACGGTGGCGCTGGATTTATCCCCCTCCTTCTCTCGGGCGAAGCAGTGGCTGTTGAGGATGCGCTGCAGGGAGGATTTCACCATCCGGCCGCTGGGGTCCGAAACCAGCAAAACCTCCGCTGCACTCTCCGCCCCGCCGCCGCTGCTCGCCGTTCGCAAAATGGCGCCGCCGCCGCCGCCCGCCTTTATAGGCGCCGCGCGCGGGCCACGCCCCCCACGCCGCCGGGAGCGCGGCCGCGCGAGGGGGCGGGGCCGCCGGGGCCGCCGGGAAACGCAGGCGCCCCCGGGGGCCCCTCTCGGCGTCTGATTGGCGGACGGCGGAGGGCCCCGCGCCGCGGATTGGGCGGCACGTTTCTGGGCCCGCCCCCCCCGTCGTCCCCCCCCTTCTGGCGTCACTCTGCGGGCGCGCGGAGGGGGCGGGGCCGCCGTGGCTCCGGGCACGCGCAGCGCGCCCCTGGCCCCGCCCCGCGTCCCCACTGCCGGGGTTTGGGGGCGGGGGCGCTGCGCGGGGTCTGGTTTTGGGGACCTCGCGGTGGCCGGGTCCCCGTCGTGGTCCCTGTCGCCCTCTCTGGGGGTCCCTTCCCCCAGCGGGCCCCTCCCCCGGGCGGCCGGGAGCGACAAAAGCGCAGGGTGTTGGGGGGGGAGGGTCCCCAGCGCCCCCACCCCTATAGGACAGAATTATTTTCACTAATAACCTCGGTTATTCATCATCGATCAGAAGGATGGTTTTCCGGATTCGGTGTGTCACGTTTACAGACGGCCAACAATTAAAAAGAGAACTTTGCATGTTGAGATGTTATCCCGATTTGGTCAACGATGTCGTGTCTCGTTGGCAGAAATATTCTTTTTTGCAGAAAAACTCAGCTATTTGTAAAACTGAAATTTGCCCCCAAGCAGACATATTCCTCTTGGGGGCTCAATTCAGAAACATTTCACGTAGAAAAACCGAATTTCGCCCCTACAGGCAGCACACACCTTCTTCCCGTGGGTCCCACTTTCTTGGGTGGTTTTACGGTTTTTTAAGTACAGAAAGAAACTCGGAATTACACAGAATTAAAGCGACTGCTGTTTGTTTCCTTGTCTTTACGACCGCAGG